TCGCGTTCTTTTAACGTGATCATGACAAATGTTCAAAGACATGGCATGCCAAATATCATCATATCTCACGATTATTAGCACGTGATACGAATGTTAAAATAAAGAGTTACGATTCGTTTCGCGGATTCATAAATGTATCGAAGCAGCGATTATTTCTCGAATCAAATATTTCGTGCGGTTTTGAGTAGGAGTATGTGGGGAACGACAGAAAAAATTATAAATTACTGTTTCGCAATATTTATAGGCGAATTATCTCTTTGACAGTGCTTGGATTCGGATATACATATTTGATTGAAATGTAATTTGCCTATCATTTTGGGTTTGATAATGCATAATAATATATAGTTCGAGTTATTTAAGTAACGAGAAGCCATATTTCTTGGTAATTAATTTGAAATAGGAGAAACGGAATATTTAGCGTACATTATTTATTTCAGGACACATTTAACAGTGATTTGTGAGATTTGTTGTTGAGTTTCGTGTTTGTTTTGGCGACGAAGCGTTGTGTACAAAGTCGCCGCGTTATTATTTGCACAGTGAGACTCGAACTGACATAAACTTTCATAACGATATTTGTTAGGTTCCAATATGCCTCGCGCTTTAAATTTTACACTGATACATAACTCACTCATTACTTTCAAACTAAGAGCACGGACGAATAATCGAATTACGAATAATTCAAGTAATTCCTGCTTTAAATGAATCGCGCAACGTATTTGCTTCGATAAGTAATCGTCGCTTTGAAAACCGTGATATATTGTTTATTAACAATATGTACAATATTTCACGGTTTTATAGCATTTGAAATATATTGCACCGTTTGAGATTTCGTTCATTTAATTAACGAATAAATTCTTGAGCGCCAAGTAAACCATAAAGTTACATATTTTTTTCATGTTATTCTTCCGTCGAACGTACAACAGCGTAAAATGCGCGTTGCGTGCAATTAATGTCGGAGTGTCGTACAAAGTGCCATGCGATTATCCTATTTTCGCAATTAGTACGCGCCACTGTAACTAATTGTTTTCTCATAAGTTTTGTGTTTTACGAATGCAACGAATGAATCTGAGAGATGAAAGAGGCCTAGAAGACATCGGATGATGACGGAGCAATGACAGAGTAATTATTTTTTATTACGTCAGTTACTCGTAAAAATTTATCACAATAATCTATTTTCATGTCATCGGATTTTACGGAAATAATTATTCCATTTCTCACCATTAATATTCCCAATTAATCTCTTATTAAAATGTAATCATTGAATCATTCGTGTCTCTAGATAAAATTTTACTCTGAATATATCACCTGGTACCTCTCTTTGTCTCATTGAATATAGATACGAACCTGAAGTTAATTTGAGCGTTCATTATCAGACAGAACATTTACACACGTATGTATCTGCGTGTGTGTGTGTATATGTTTCATAATATATCAATTTGTATGTACTATATTTTTCACGAACGTCGAGCTTTAATAAATTCATATATTTTCCCATTGCAACACTTAATTGAAATTAGTGCCATCAAAATTTGTACATATGACATTTCAAACAATGACTCTGTTGCAATTTTACCCAAATAAATACCTGTCTAATACACTATATAAATATACGTTATCTTTACAAATTAGTGTGATAACTGTAATCAAATGTATGAAAATTAATGGCAATAGGCGTACGACGTATAACAAATTTTAAACTTACTATACGTCGCGTACGATGCTGTAATTTGTAATATATAAAAAGCAAAATTTTTGAAACACCGCGGATAAAAAAATGTAATTACAAAATCAAAAGCAAGCAGCATAATTATACAATACGTCGCAAATATGCGCTGATATCTGAATAACAAGTCTTACATTGAACGTCGATCTTGGCGGGCGAGCTCTCGATCGAATAGCCGGTTTCCTCGTGTGTGGCCACGCAAACAAAGTTCCCGCTGTCCAAGATTCGATTGACCCTAGTGATATAAAGATCGCCCTCGACCTGGTGCCTTCGCGGACTGGGAGCAAGCGGCTGTCCATCTATTTTCCACGAGTACCTGACGTGTGAGCTTGGCTGAGCCTCGCATCTCAAGCGAACCGGAAGTCCTTCGACAACCGAGTGTTCCGCAGGGCTCACCGAAAAGTAAAGATCGCCATCTTGGCCGTGGACAGGTACTGCTGTGAAAAAAAAAAAGAAATATCGTTTTGTTATAACAATAAAATATCGATCAATCGGCAAACATCGGACATATTCAAAATTGGCCAAAAATCATTGTTTGACTTTGTTGTTGCTATACAGAGGTACAAAAATTATTTCTTTAAATATTAAAGTTTCCGTGATATAATCTTCTTTTCAAAGACTAAGTTTGAGCGGCCAGAAGTGCAATTGAGTCACGTATCATCGTTCGTGCGATTGTTGGTGAAAAGAGTACACATATGTGTCCAATTTCGTTGAACGATCACAGGAGGTACAAAGAGACGCTGAACGAGCGGCGTCGAGTACTCGGTGCAGGACCAAAATGCCCCCAACGAGTTGCGCGTTCAAGCGATATTTCTGTTCGTCGAGTGCCGAAAAAGGGAGATGAGAAAAAAGGCTAGATGGCCGGTATAAATGTACAATATGACACATGTACAGGTTCGTGATTCGCCAGTCTATGTCCGGGCGAGCGTTGCGCGAGTTTTGCATACACACAATGGTTGCATCGGTGTGGATTAAATCCTCTGTACCGGGGCGAAAATCGATCGGTGTGTTTCTCTGCGCCACGGCCGCCGGCCAGCAACACGTTGTACGTACGTTGCACCGTGTAACGCGCACGCTGACTGCACCCGTGCCGTTTGCCGTCTCTCGTACACCATCGATCTCTCGTTTACACAACGCTACCGCGTCTATGGAAGTGTCTGGGAATAATTAATCCGTCGCGGTCATGATCGCGAAATATCGTATCGCGTACATTACTACATTTACACATATACGAAGGGCTTACTCCAATAAGTAATGCAACACATTGTTTCTCATTCAATGTTCGTTTTATTGCAGTTTTAAATGTATCATATTTTTCATCAATTCTTTGGCTACAAAAACCTATTTTTCAACATAATCTCCATTCAATTCTATGGCCTTACGCCACCTAGATGTGAGAGCCTGTATGCTCTTGCGGTACCACTCTAGGTGAGGAATGACAGTCCACCCTACAGCTCGGATCTTCTGACTTTCATCTCTTTGGTGCTCTGAAAGATGCAATTCGCGGGAAGAGATATGGCAACGACAAGGAAGTCATAGTAGCCAAAGTAAGAAAGTGGCTGAGAGGCAGACCAGCCAGAGTGCTACTACTAGGTGGCGTAAAGCCATAGAATTGAATAAAGATTATGTTGAAAAATAGATTTTTGTATAGCTAAAGCATTGGGGAAAAATATGATGTGTATTTAAAACTGCAATAAAACAAACCTTGAATGAGAAAAGCAACGTGTTGCATTACTTACTAGACGCCCCTCGTATACTTCACGTTTAAATTTCAGGGGATTACACAAGATCTGTCCTCGATCTCCAATCGCGTCAAGTTTCGATCGTTCGTAGTAAACGAAAAATCGGTGATTTGATTAAAGAGTACGCAAAACGTTCAAATCGCTCACAAGTCAGTTTATTTTTATTTGCTACGTTTAAATCTAGCATTCATAATTGTTCTGAATGTTGTTACGGCGCATCCAAATGTCGTCTTACTGGATATAAAGTATAATATATTGTCTAACGTTCGGCATAATTTATTCCGACTAATAACAAATGTCCCATGGCGATCCTGGACACTATATAGTTTAACCGTCGTGCATTATGGGAACCATAATGCATGGTCATAAATCTATCAGAGAGAGCGGGACCCCTAGCTCTTTTATTTATCTTCACGCGGACCGTGCCAGTCTCTCCCTATCTATAATTGTGGATCCAGGTATTTCCTTTGGTCTCATACCGCCGCGGTATGTATGTTCTATGGCTTTAAGTTTCATAACTATCGAAAAGCGACGCGTATTCACATATCCATAAATTTTATGGGAAAAATTTTTCTTCGATTTAATAACGCTAACTTGCTATTTAATAATACCAACTTTTTGCCTGAATCTACATTTATAATCGGAAATAGGGCTCACTGTCGTTAAATTGTAAAATTTTTGCACAGCGATTACGTGGTCAGTATTGATTGATGTTATACGCAGTTGTTATAATTATTACACGAATCTGTGAAAAACATGCATTTCTGCGCCAAGTTTGCGGTTAATGCGCGCGCAATATCAAAGAATTGATTTTAAACCGTCTCGCTGAAAGGTAAATTGCCGTTTTTTCTGGTCTCAAAAGGCTAACGAAATATGGTCCCCCAAAAATGTCGTTGACTTATTCGTTGGTTCCCTGATTACGATGAGAAATTAGGAGAGTTTCAGTTAAATGCGGCAGGTTTTATGAAAGTACCGCGCCTTTTCAACGTGATCATTAGGCGTTATCTCCAAACGTGGTTCGATGTCAATCTTTATCAGCAAGAGAAAGAAAAACGGGAGAAAAAGCCGCGTTGCATCCTAAAAAAAGAATGCGCGTTTACGCCGGTCGTGAAATCTCCCCGAGGGGTAAACACGACCGCTTTTACGATCTACTCTCGAGATTGGCTTCCTCCCCGAGCTAAACATCTCCTTCTCTTTTCTCTTACTCTTCTCCGCGCCGACGACAGCTGCAGCCGCGCCGCTTTATAATGTTTACACAAGCGATCCGATTTTTCGACTACACTGCCCGATGCTGAGTGCCTGCGCATGTCCGACTTCTACATGATGACACGTAGAATCCGTCAACTGGTAGTAGAATAACAGTTGACGTGAATGAATGAATGAATATCAAAAGAAGTGAAGAAGACCTAAAGTCTCGTGAATACTACAGATCTATCTAACCGAGAGCTGTTTTACGATTACTTAGTTGGCAAAAAATCGCGTTTAGCTAGCAGGATTGCCACAGAAAATGAATTTTAAAATTCTCTGACTTTTCTATGTTCTGCAGATAATAATGGAGAATTTTCCATGATATGTAATGTTAAATTTTATTTCAGAAGCAGAGTTCAGAAGTAGGAATTGCAGGAAAGATAGCTTATTTTATTAGAAGCAACACAACCTTGAAAGTTTAGTAATATAATATAATAGTTGCTTTCCATTTACATCAAAACTTAAATAATTCTCACTGTGACGTCATAACTCAGTTAAATGCACGTTCTTTTTGCATACTGGCAAGTGAGATTCAACCGAGTTTTTATCCACAATCGAGACCATGTGCTTTAATGAATCTAATAAACTCACATTAAAAGTGAGGCTATGGACCTGTACATATTATTATGCGATAGCTTTGTCACCAAAATAAGCAGGTATATACAAAATGACATATCTTACCTGAGTATAAAATACATAACTGAGTGACTCAGATCACTTGAGTGTAAATGGAAAGCAACTAATATAATCCTGAATGCAAATTCAGGCTATCAAAAATATTGAAATTAATAAATATTGAAAAAAAGAATGCAATTATGAGGGAAAGGGTGATTGAATAAAAGCACTGAATAAAATATAGAAAATTATTTTGTTGAATAATATCGTAAGAAGAAGCAGGGGCAGACGAAATAGATGAAAGAAATAGACGCGAGAGCATCTCAAAAGTAACACTCCTTGTCTCCTCATAGTAACACGTAAGAAATGACTTATATATAAAGTGCGCGAGTTTTGAACTCATTTGACTAAATGTTAAATATAACATTTGAAAGATTATAAGTAAGCTTTAGAAGCATTTAAAAATAGTCTAAGAGCATTTGTGTAAATTGTGAGCAAAGTTTCAAATTCCAGGCTATATTTCCCTGATTTTTCCAGGTTTTCCTTGACCAATTCCATGACTTTTCTCGGTTTTCCAGGTCTGTGGCAACCTTAAGCTAGGTACATGGGCGTAGCTAGACTGTTTTTCGGGGGGGGGGTAGACTGTTTTTCTAGGTGAAAGAACTCTTCCCAAATTGGCCAAGTTCTTTCACTTAGTTATCCCTCGGATTAAACCCTTCAGATTAAAAATAATTAAACAATATTAGAACATTAGAACAATAACTGTGAATATTTATACTTATTTTAAAAGAAACAAACTGAGTAGGTAATAAACAACAGATCATGAAAGTCTTAAGCGATCCTTTGTCGCAAAACGGCCCAGTTCTTTTTCAACTGTAAGATCTCTTTAAACATATAAAAACCTCTCGATTGTGATTAACTAAATAGCCATTAGTCATCTGTCATTTTTGTTCTACATTACCTATATTAGATGTTTCTTGAACTACTGTTCAGAAGTAAATCTCTACATCTACTTCTATAGAAATGAAATGTGAGATGAGGATTTCGTTACTGTATCATTGAACTATCCTACCAAATATTCAATGCTTTTTTCTTTGCTCTTATATAGGATTTGTGTTTTCAATTTTTATTTACTTCTTAATACGCTAAAGTGTTATCTACTATTTCTCGCTTTTTGGGAGGCCTGATCCTCCAGCTCAGCCCTCCCTTCTTACGCATGGCTAGGTAATTAAACAAAATTACAAGAATTTTTCAAATAAATTAAAAATCAGTAATTAACTTGTAATTACATGAAAGCAAAAGCATCTCTCATTATATCTTGTATTCATGGCTATTCTTAAAAATATCTTATAACTTGAAATAAGTATAAGTAAAATAAAAATATCACTTTGTTTTAATTGTAACTTTGTTATATAAAAAAACTTAAATATATTGCGATACTATCGAGATATTTCTGATTTTAATTTCTTAAGAACTCTAAGGGCATCATAAGATAATGATAAAATGTCTTTCTCTTATGTGCGACTTCTTCCGGTGAATCGAAAGCGACGAGAAAGTAACTCGTCTCGGCGCGGGCGCAAAGGGTTGTTTTTTCATAGCCGTCTAGGGTAGTTTCGCGAGCACGAGTCTCTCTCATCGGAGCACTTCTCGATTATTATTCGTGGTACATGGCGCACGATCCCTCTTCCAGACGTCATAGGTCTAGAAGGGAGAAAGTTCGTGCCGGTAGAAGCGGAACTTGGCTCGTTATGCTATATACGGATTCTTTTTCCCGATGTGTACACGCGACCCAAGTAATGACAGCCTTTTATCGAAAGATTGCCTTTGAAACT